GAGACAGGGTCTCACTGTGTAGTTGAGACTGACCTGGAACTATGTAGCCCAAGCTGGTCTCAAACTCACAGTGATACTCCTGCCTCAGCTCCCAAGTGCTAGGATTACAGGTGTGCACCACCACACCTGGCTAAATTTTTTTTTAGTAATTGCAATCTTTAAACTATTTCTAAAAAGATCTAATCCACATTTTCTTTCTTTTTTGGTACCGGGGATTGAATTTGGGTCCTTGCGCTTGCGAAGCAGGCGGTGGCACCACTGAGCTAAATCCCAGCCCCTAATCCACATTTTCAAACCTCCATCAGAACCCCAATTAATTATATCTTCAAAAATAATAATAAGTATGTTACTTAATTCTGTGTTCATGTCTGTATTGAATTTTACAGAAGGGGTACTGCAGTCTCCTTTTTCAAACTCCTTGTTTACAGTACCTGAGAGGTTATCCTGGGTGTACCAGGCCCGTAAGGACAGGACGTTATCAGGTCACTTCGGTATAATTCATTAAATTATTAGTGTAGTACTATTACAGAGTATTAAACAGCATCTAAGAAGCCGGAAAAAGCTTATGTTCCCCTCAAATTGTCATTTGAGAGCTAATAAATGAAATTTAACTGATAAAGGTAACACACAGTTCTAAAGAAAGTTTAAAAGTAGTTATATATCTGTGCATAACATACTATTATTAGTCTTTTTATATAAATAAATATATATATATATATATATATATGTCAGTAAATTTACTGCTTTTTAAAATGTCCTTGCTTCTTACCAAATAAACACATTTTGTTACAATGGCTAAAAACAAAGTTAAATATGAGACAAATGACTCAATCAGATCAGATGAAGCTGCCTTAATGTCTAGAAAACTAGACCAATCACTAAAAAAATAAAAAGAATTTCTGTTGAATAAGGGACAGAAAAGTATACAACTTCCTGAAATGAGTCAACAGTGCCATAAAGAAAAATAACATTCAGGAGAGTATACTTAGATAGTACAATATATAAATAATGAAGACAATAAACTAAAAAATTGAAACACTGTACAAAATTCATACAAATACCACCTTAAATATATGCAAGACGCCAAATAAATTTTAAACATAAGTGTGAAATTTAAAAAGGCACTTCATATAACAATGGAGATAGTATTTCTTTATACATGGTAACTACAAGAAATCATATTTTCTTCATGTACATTTTGTGCCTAGTCAAGAAATAACATTTTAAAGAAAAAGGCAATTAGACACAGCTTTTTTGAAAATACTAAATCATTAAACTTGCAGCTATTTAAGGCCTCCTAAAAAACCTAGAGGTAATTCAAATCAGAGATTAGCCTAATAAAGAACTGGCTCTGTACATAGCAGGCACAGTGAATCTGACTAAATATTACGAGTTCTGTACTCTACTGGGGTTGTCTCTCTAGACCAAGTACCCACTTTTAATTTTATAGCACTATAATCATGCAAATATGCCAGAGATTACAAAAAAGATAAATAAAGTAAGGGTACTAGGATGTTATTGTCTCTTCTGCAGTCCAGAAACTAATATATAGATAAATTACATTCCCACTTCATTGCATTCTGTCCCTATCCCCATTCAATTGTCAAACACTTTCACCGATTTATTTATTTTTTGGTCCCAGGGATCGAACTCAGGCCCTTGTGCTTGCGAGGCAGGCGTGGAACTACCTAGCCAAATCTCCAGCTCACCAACTTACTTAATTGGTCTCCAACTTGTTGGTTTCTAATACTTTTCCCACTTTAGGAAAACTGAATTTTCTACAGATACATGGGCTTAAGTGGTTAAGCAGCGTCACTTTTACTTTTTTATTGAGAAACATAAATATCAAAAGAGATTAGCATATTTAAAACATTTAAGAAAGGAAGAGCTGCACAAGAGTGTAGTTAACACTAATAAATTAGACACTTAAAATGATTAAGGTGCATTTTGGTTTTTTTTTAATGATTGCATTTTGGGGTTTTTTTAAACCACAATTTAAAAGGGGAAGGGCAGTATAAGCATGGTTTTGGCTTAGTTTTTGGAAAATAAGGGTATCTCAAAGATCACCAAGTTTGTAACATACCATGTAATTTGGGGAAGAAAAGGGGAAAAATGAAATTAAAATAGCCTTAATTCGTAACACTTACCGTGTGGTCGCATAAAACCTAAGTTCTTTCTCCTGTGAGATATCAGGTGGTTAAACTTTTCGTGAGAAAATTACAGAACCAGTATCAAGGGCACAAGACTGTTCCACTTGTGCCATTATTAGTTACAAACTCCAGCCGGGCGTGGTGACTCACGCCTGTAATCCCAGCACTTGAGAGGCTGAGGTAGGAGGATCACTGCGAGTTCGAGACCAGTCTGGGCTACATAGTGAGTTCCAGGTTAGTCTCAACTACATAGTGAGACCCTGTCTCAAAAAAACAAAAAACAAGCTACAAAATTCTGTGTGTAACTTAGGCCCTTGGTTTTTTGGTGGAGTTTTTTATTTTTTCTTTTAAAGACAGTTTTTACAGAGCATTGGCATGGACCCAACTTTGTGGAAACCATAGAAAAATAAGGTAAATATTAACTTTAGATGCAACTTAGCTAAATTTACTAAGTGATCTTTATCAAGACTAGTTCAGGTTTCATCTACAAGTAGGACAGAAAGGAACGATAGTTCCTTCTTGGGCCAGAGACTTGGCTCAGTGGTGCAACTGCCTGCCTCGCAAGGGCAAGGTACCAAATTTGATCCCCTGTAGCCCCCCAAAAAGTTAACTTCTTCCAAGTAGGGACAATCAATGTCTTTAACCTCTATGGAAAGTGAAAAAAAAAAAAGTAGGCTTAAAAAGTGTGCTCAATACAGTTACGAGGGGAGGAGGAATAAGCTTCTAATAAACTATGAAAAAGAGAGGCATAAGAAAATGTAATCACTACTGTGCAAGAGCTATGACAAAAAGAAACCACATAAACCCTAAAACAGTGCTACATGCCACTCACACAGTGTGACTACAATACCTTTATCAAGAAGATAAAAAAGACAAATGTCTGACAAACCAAAAGAATTACAGAATTATATGTCTGTCCAAAAAACTGGGTGCCAAGCAAGAAAGAGTAGTTGATGTATTCAGACCTCTCAACCTTGATATTTTCTCCATTCCCGAAGCCATGCTGTGAAGACTAGGCCTTCAGGGCTGCTATACCATAGAGCCACTGCTTTGAGACATAGAGAAGATACTATGGCACATGTAACTGAGGAATATGCTGCCAGCTCCAGTGTGATAGAAAGCAGAAGTCATCTCTCATGGTGAGTGACCAATTAACCAGGACACATCATTGGAGGTCCTGATTTCAGCCTTTCAAAAAAATCTTTAATGAATATCATCATTTAGATATCCAGAAACAGAGTTGTGTGGCTTGTTCTCATCACAACTGTGGCGGCCCAGCGGTCACAACAGGAACATGCCTGAGGTGGGGAGTGAGGATTGAGAAAGGAAAGAACACTCAAGCCTGAGCGGAGACCAAGAGAAGTCTGATTTATTTCACAGAAACAGCTCCTTTTATAGGCTCACATCAACAGGAAGCACCAAGGAACTATTTGCATCTTTATGCAAAGACCGGATTTTCTGACTCTTTACAAAGAACATCAGATCTGTGGCTGTCTCTTTGAGTTTCTCCCATTGCAGAGTCAAAAAACAATTTTAACAAGCAGAGTCCTAGAACACTAACAAATGTTACATAGATTGTATCAATGCCTTGAGTGTAGAGGTGAAGAATGTCAAACGTCTAGAGGGCCATGGCCGGGCTCCCACACATGACATCCACAGTTTTGCTTTAAATCTTAAGGATTTCTCAACAAAAACTAGACTGATGGCACCTCGTTTTATTTTGCTGAAAGGACCAGATTGTCAGCCACGCTTTAAATAAGAATCTTACTCTTAAAGAGTAGATGTGCATATCTTGAAGGGTGTAAATAATACCTTTTATTTCCAGAGCACTGCTATGCTCATCTTTATTATATTTGGAGTATGACGTGTTATCAAACTCAAATGAATTAACTGCTGAGAGGATAGGTTTGCGAAGGCCATCTTGGTGGAAGGCCCAGATTGTAGTGAGACCTCTATGCCAGAGTCTCTCCACTTGTTGATATGTGAGCTTGATAGGTCAAAGACTACTAGGACCAATGACAACGAAGAATTACCACACATGCAGTTTTATGAAGGGTGATGGTATGGTGGGCATCAGTCTTGCTGAAGACAGTTACTGCAAAAATGTCTACAATATTGTTACAGGTAGAAGTCTTTCCAGCTGGTATCCATAGCAGACTTGTAACATAAAGCCATTCCAGCTGGAAGCAAATGGGTTTTGGCAAAATTAGATTTGAATTCCATTTGGCACACAGCTTTGTAGTTGATTCTAAAGTCTCACAGAGCTTGACAGTAGTATGAACTCTTGGTGAGTTGATCATCTTGACACAGAGACTATTAACATAGCTGTCATTTAATGAAGATCTATCAAGCGGATGCCTGAACAAAGCACTGATGACCTGAAAATGAAGGATTTGCCTCTGCTCTTAGTAAATAGAAGTCTAGCAGTAAACTCTTTCCAGATTCAAAATCTGCTGGTCCTTGGTTTACCAACACAGTTTTCCTGAGGAACATATCTATGCACTTTCCTTTAATCACAAGAGGATTTGGAGTCCTAAATGCCCTCCTCTGGCCTTACTTTGGACCAGAAATAATGGCTAACCTTTGCCCAACACTCCTTACTCACTTAGCCAATAAAGCGTGAGCCTTTTCATTACATACTTTATTCCCAAAGTCTAGGATTCAGTGCTTGCTTCGGCAGCACATATACTTCGGCAGCACATATTCCCAAAGTCTAGGATTCAAACATTCACTATGATCATTCCAGAAGCGCATTCAGTCTGTTGATGATCTCCTGCCTATAAAGTCAATCCTTTCTGAGTGGGGTGAAACAAATAAAGTAGAATCTTGATGACTATGGTGCTGAACATATTAATTCTTGTATTCGTGTCGTTCTTGAGATTCTCCCTTTTTCTATACCTATAGGGGTGGCTTCGGAATTTGTACCAATCCCCCCTGGAATATGCTCTATTGTGATAATATGCTTTCTGATCATGACTATTAAAGAATCGATGTTGGTTATAGTATTTATTGTGATCCTTATATTCATTTTCTTTAATACTGTTTTCTTCTACATCAACAGCATTTACACCTTGTCCAAAAAGAGAAGAACTACCAAAGGGCAAGTGTAAGATCTTCTGGGTTTTCTTACTGAGAGATGTAAATTGGAGCCAGGCCTGCCTTCTATAGTCTCTTGCTATGGCCATAACTCTGACTACAGAGTCTCTTATGTGTCTAGTAGTACAAGGTTGCCAAAGGCCTGCATCCATACCTTTAGATATTATACACCTTGCTTTTCTACCATCAAACCGTGGGTTATGAACTAAATCCTCCATGTCTTCCCAGAGCTTACGCTGACACTGAGTCATATAAGCCATATAGCTAGCAGCTCAAGCTGTATGGTAAAATCCACAATCCATGACCTCCATTTCTTTTGAGGTAGAATCTAGAGGAGATGTTGTGCTTCGTCTTTTGCTGTGCTCTAATGCTTCTACAATGGGATCTTCAGCTGGTGGATTTGGTTGGAAAGGAGAGGTATCCTTGGACACAGGATATACCTTGTGTCCCATGAAGGAAGAAGGGTGACAATCAACAGGGTCCTTAAAAACTTCAATGGTGACATTTCTCAAAAAAGTATGCAATGGGGCCGGGAATTTAGCTCAGCGGTTCGGTGGCCTGCCTTGCAAGCGCAAGGACCCGAGTTCAATCCCCGGTACCAAAAAAAAAAGGATGCAATGGAGGAACCAAAAGTTTTTTAGAGGTTACCCAGTTAGGTTTCCCTTCACATGATTCTGTTTCAGATTGTAATGTTACCTCTTTATAACACCTCTCTGTTCCATTCCCTTCAAAAGGCCTGTGAAACTAGACTGGGTGGGGTTAGTTGGCTGCCCTTTGTCATCAGCTGTTGGGGATTTGCAATCACCTTCTTCACCTATTGATAAATTTTCTTCCTTAGCTGTGGAGAGGTCCCAAGGAACTGCAGAACTCTCATTGACCTAGAACGATGAAGCCTAAAACAGCTCTTGGACTGCAGATCACATATTACTTGGGACATCTCAGCCACTTGTGTCTGGAGATAGAGGATGGCATCCTGTCCATGCTGTGAAGCAGAAGACTCTATGGGTAAATCCTCTTTGATCTCAGAAGAGTCCAAAGATTCCTGGGGAGCAGAAGTAGAGATGAAGGCAAAGTCTGATAATTTTGTGATAGTTTGTGTCTCTGTCTCAGAGATCTTATTATCAGAATTATTTTGAGCATTTTTCTGGCTTTCCAATGGATTCTCAACAGAAGAAAGTCGAGAAACTATCCTTTGTGAGCTGCTGGCACAACTCTCAGAGGAGGAGCTGCTGTCTCCAATGGGAAGAGGAACACTGCAGCTAGAGTGATGTTTCCCAGAGGATGGCACCTTAGATTTAGACATTTTATCACCATGAGAGGTGCTAGGCTTTTCATCGTCACTGCTGACCAGATGTGTGTATTCAAGACCAGGTCTTAAGGGTTCTTTACTGACAAAATGGATGTCGTCTTCGTTCTCCTCCGCCGCAGACGTGGGAGCCTCGAGTCTGGAGGGAGAGACCGGGTCCACGACCTCAGGCCCCGGGTCACCCATGTTTCCAAAGCCCAAGAGAGAGGATGTCCCTGCTGCGCCCCTTCCCGCCTACACCTCCTTCCCGCCCCACCCCCCATGCATGCTGATGCCTAATTTAATTTTTTTTTTTTTTTTTGAGACAGGGTCTCCCTATGTAATCCAATCAGACCTTGAACTCACAGTGATCCTCCCACCTTAACCTCCTGAATGCTGGGATTGCAGGAGTGCACCACCACTGGTTAAAGATAATATTCTAAAGTTATCAAAGCTGGACATGGTGGTGAATATCTATATTGCCAGCACTTTAGGAGGCTGAGGCAAGCGGATCACAAGTTCAAGGACTGCCTGGACAACCTAGCAAGACCTAGTTTGAAATAAAAACTAAAAGGAGCTGGGGACGTAGTTCAGTGGCACAGTACCCCTGAGTTTTGATTCCTAGTACCTTTTCCTAAAAACATGTCAATACTACATAAATAAAACTACAGATTCAACATAATCTCTATCAAAAGTCTAATAGTCTCTTTTTCAGAAATGGAAAAGCCAATCCTCAAATTCATACAGAATTGAAAGGAGCCCTGAAGAGCCAAAACAATCTTGAAAAACAAGAATAAAATTGGAAGACTCACACTTCTCAAATTCAAATTGTAGTACAAAGCTACAGTAATTAAAACACTATGGCATTGGCATAAGGATAGAATGTAGGCAAATAAAATAGAATAGAATGCCTAGAAATAAACCCTCGTATATAGGGTCAATTGGTTTTTTGTTTTTCTTTTGTGGTACTGGGGATTGAATCCAGGGCCTAGCATATATTAAGCAAGTGCTATACCACTGAGCTACACTAATAACTCTTCAACCCCCATCTTTTATTTTTTTTTTATTTTTGGTACTGGGGATTGAACTTGGGACCTTGCTCTTTTGAGGCAGGTGGCAGAACCACTGAGCTAAATCCCTCCCCGCTTTTAAAGACAGAATTTCACTAAATTGCCCAGGCTGGCCTTGAACTTGTGATCCTCCTGCCTCCTGCCTCCCAAGTAGTTGGGATTATGGGCCTGTGCCACCATACCCAGTGGCCAGTTGGTTTTCAACAGAAGTATAAATGCCATTTAAGGGGAAGAAAACAGTCTTTTGAACAAGTAATGCTAGGAAAACTAAATATCCAAAGAAATGAAGTTGGACCCTTACTTTACATGATGCTACAATTTGAACATGGTTTGTTCCCATCAAAACTCACATTGAGGCTTCATTCTGTAATGTAAGTGTTCAGGTTTGAAGCCTGAAATGGCATTTAAAGTCATGAGGGACCCACCCTCATGAATAGATTAATAGATAGTTGTTTTTCTTGAGAGGCTGGGTTAGTTTTCTGAGACTGGATAAGGTCTTGGGGAATGGAATTGAGCAGGCTGTTATAAAACAAGCTCAGCTTCCTCAGCTTGCTGTCTTGCTTCTGCTCTCATTGTGTCATCATGTGACACCTTCCTCCTGCATCCAGCAGGTGCTTTTGCCGTGTGATGCCATCCACCATGTTAGGTTGCAGCACAGTGGGGCTGCCAGATCATGGACAGAACTGTCAGCCAAAATTATGACTTGCCCAGCCTTAGGTCTCTTTTTTTATGGCAACACAAAACAAATGAAAACACATACAGTATACAAAAATTAACTCAAAATAGATCAAAGACCTGAACTTGAGAGTTAAAACTATAAAACACTTAAACAAAAACATTGGAAAAAATCTGCATTACATCGGGTTTCATGGATATGATATTAAAAGTACAAAAAAATTTAAAAAATAGATAAATTAGATTTCATCAAAAATAAGAACTTTTGGGGGTGGGAATGTATGTCAGTGGTAGAGCACATGCTTAGCATGCACAAGGTACTAGATTCAATCCCCAGCACCAAGAAAATACAAATTAAATTAGAAATAAACTTTTGTGTCAATAAAGCAAAAGACTAGATGGGAGAAAATATTTGCAAAACTCACATCTGAATTTGGGATACTAATATTCATACTAATATTTAATACATTTAAAAAATTCCTAAATCTCAATGCTGTCAATTTTTTTGATATTTTTTTTTTTTTTTTTTTTTTTTTTTTTTTTTTTTTTTTTTGGTACTGGGGCTCGAACTTGAGGCCTTGTGCTTTCAAGGCAGGCCGTGGAACCACTGAGTTAAATCCCCGGCCCTCTGAATAATATCAATTAGTCAAACAAGCTAATTAAAGAAAAGGTGAAGGCTTGAATAGACACTTGTCCAAAGAAGATACACAAACAGCCAATAAACACATTAAGAGGTGTTCAATGTCATTAGCCATTAGAGAAACGCAAGTCAAAACTACAATGAGATACCTGTGTATATGTAGTAGATTGGCTAATTCAAACAAAGAGAAACTAATAAGTATTGGCAAGGGTGTGGAAATTCAGTACTGTAGGGACCTGCAGTGAGTATTTAAAACAGTGTAGTGGGGGAGCGGGGGGCGCTGACCCAGATGTTCACTCCTGGGTGGGGGGGGTGGGGGGGTGGAAGCGCCAGGCCCTGCTGGGGTGGAGGGGACACCACAGAGCCAGGACGGGACCACCGCAGCCACCATGAGTGATCAACAGCTGGACTGTGTCTTGGACCTAATGAGGCGCCTGCCTCCACAGCAAATCAAAGAACCTCAGTAACCTGATCGACCTGGTCCCCAGTTTCTGTGAAGGTCTCCTGTTGACCAGCCACTGAAAATTGCCGGGGAAAAAACGGTGGGCAAAGATTACCTTTTGTGTGACTACAGCAGAAATGGGGACTCTTACAGGTCACCATGGAGTAACAAGTATGACCCCCCTTTGAAGACGGGCCCATGCCATCTGCTCGGCTGAGAAAGCTGGAGGTGGAAGCCAACAATGCCTTTGACCAGTACCGGGACCTGTATTTTGAAGGTGGTGTCTCATCTGTCTACCTCTGAGATCTGGATCATGGGTTTGCTGTAGTGACCCTCATAAAGAAGGCTGGAGATGGATCAAAGAAGATGAAAGGCTGTTGGGATTCCATCCATGTGGTAGAAGTGCAGGAGAAGTCCAGTGGCTGCACTGCCCATTACAAGTTGACCTCCACAGCGAAGCTCTGGTTGCAAACCAACAAATCTGACTCAGGCACCATGAACTTCTGTGGCAGCCTCACCAGACAGATGGAAAAAGATGAAACTGTGAGTGACTGCTCCCCACACATAGCCAATATCGGGTGCCTGGTAGAGGACACTGAAAATAAAATCAGAAGTACACTGAATGAGATCTACTTTGGAAAGACAACGGATATTGTCAACAGGCTGAGGTCTGTGCAAACTTTTGCAGACAAATCAAAACAAGAAGCTCTTGGGCTGGGGATTTAGCTCAGTGGTTCGGTTGCCTGCCTTGTAAGCACAAGGACCCGAGTTCAATCCCCGGTACCCAAAAAAAAGAAGGAGCTCTTAAGAAGACTTGGTGGAGGCTTTGAAGAGAAAGAAGCAATGTTAAACCTCTGCTTCATGCTGACTGGCCACGCCATGCCCTCATTAGGCTCCTCTCTTAGAAAACTCATTTTCTGCTCCCTCTCCCTCGCCTCTGCCCTCCCTGACAGGTCACATAACAACTTGCATCATGGACCTCCCACCCACCGACAGTGCCATCTCTCCCCGAGAATAAAGCCTGATAACTACTCTGTCTGGCTCTCAGGCCTGCTTCCCACCACTTATTGCTAGTGAAACTCTCGAAATTTCCATAGAAACTGTGTTTTTTGTTTGCCTCGGCCCTGTCTCCCTCCCCACCCCTCCATTTAGAGACATAAAATACACCGTCTGACAGCCACCTGCCCCTCCCTCCCACCTTTTTGTTACATTGGTGTTAAGCATGCAAAACAAAAAATTCTATGAAAAACAAAACAAAACAGTGTAGGCCTTATGGAAAAAGAGACCTAACTAACACATGACCCAATATTTACACTTCAAGCTATATAATCTGAAAGCAGGGACTTAAATAGTTATTTGTACAAAATTTTCGTAGCAGGATTACTCACAATAGCCAAAAGGTGGAGATAGAGTCAGTAATTTAGTTCAGTTGTTCCCCGGTACCAAAAGGTAGAGATGATCCAAACATCCCACCAGTGGATTCAGAGATCAACAAAATTGATCTCACAGAAAGCAGATGATATAATGGTATAACATGGACAAAATGAAAGCATTATATGTAGTGAAATAAGACAGGCACAAAAGGATATTGTATGACTCCAGTTCCGTGAGGCACCTAGAATAGGCAAATCCGTAGAGCCAGAAAGTAGAATAGAGCTTTCCAGGTCTGGTGGTGTGGAGGTGGGAAAGGGAGCTGTTGTTCAATGGGCACAGAGTTTTTGTTGGGGACAATAAAAGAGTTTTGGGTATGGCTAGTGCTGGATGGCTGTACAACAATGCATATTTAATGTCATTGGATTTTAAATGAACAAATTGCTTAAAACAATAAATATTATATATAACTATGACTAAAAAGAAAAATGAAAAAAAGCTATAAGGAGTGTAATGAGAATTATATGAAGTGACATGGAAAAGCTTGATTCTTTCGCACTGTTGGTTTCACTTCTCTTTTATCTCTGCCATCCTTCTTCTGGGGCCACCCTATTGATCCTGGGAGTCTGACTAGTCACCAACATGCTAGATATATGGTTGGTTTGAGGAAGGGTGATCTTAGCTTATGTCAGGGTGTGACTGAACATCGTAATATTTGAGGTCTTTTCTGAGTAGAGACAATTCTGTGTTTACTAATGTAGCTTCTTCTTTGCATAAATGGCACCACTGTTCATGCAGATAAGAACCTCGACGTCACCCTTGACTTCTTTAACATCCCACAACCAGTCATCAGCAAATGTTAACAAGCGCACCTTCAAAATATACTTTGGACTCTATTCCCCGTCCCCTCCTCAGCTGCCACCCTTAGCTGCTATCCAAGGTCACTTGGGCCACTCAAGAGCTTCCTCTCAGAACTTCCTGTTTCTTCCCGGCCTCCTACAATGTATTC